GATGATGGGCTCAAGTATAGCAGGGATTGTGGGGCTGGTGCGGGATCGGGCAGTGTTTCATTCTGCTGTGCATGGGGTTGCTATGAGTCGGAAACGCCTCGACGGCACTTAACAACAACAAGGTAACTTGTCCAACTATCATGCAGCCCAAATGGTCTAAATGGGTCAGAACTGCCTGATTAATCCCTTGGATGGGTCCTTGTGGGAGAAAATCAAACCAGGAAGTGAGGTGGAAAGGGTTTTGGTTGCATGAGTTCAATCAGCACTCTTCACATTGGCAAATGCTGCTTAGTCAACTTGAAGTACTTACTTCCCAGAACAGATTGACTAAAAGAAGAATATACAATCTAGACAGAGAATTCAGAATGATTTTGGTCATCCACAGAGAAAACTTTCAAATACAATTCAGTGGAGAAAGAAAACAGAAAGGAAATAAAAAGAAACAGAAGCTACTAGTAGGCACACTTGACTGCTAACCAGAAGTTCAGCACTGCAAACCCACCAGCTGCACTGTGGAAGGAAGATGGGGCAATTTACTTCTGTAAAGACTTACAGCCTCAGAAACCCAATGGAGGTCGTCATGAGTTAGAAATGACTTGATGGCATTGAGTTTGGTTTTGGTTTAATGGACACTTAAGACTATTAGAGCAAAAACTGGGCCTTCTTGGAGGACTTGAATTCCCTAAGCCATGGTCTCCAATTCAGAATTACAGAAAAGGAGCGTTCTGCTGTATGTATCCCAGGGTTATCAGGCCCAGGTAAGTAAGTCTCTCATAGGAATTGTGGGGACTATAACCCCTCATCCTTGAATAATCTGCTCCTTATGTATCTTGAGGACTCAAACATCTCAACCTTGCCGTACTCCAAACAGATACTGAAAATAAAGTTGGTTAAAAGTTTAGTTTTCAACTCAAGTTCTTCAACTCCCACAATAATGGAAGAACCACAAATCATAGTTGGTTTCCCTACACTACCCAGTTGAAAAAAAAAAAAAAATGGAGAGACAAAAGAGAAAATAATCAAAGGAAAAAGAGAATTACAAAGAAAAGGAGGTCCTGGTAATAAAATGATGGAAATCTGGTGATACAGGGCCTAAGGCATTTTATCTGTTAAACACAAGGTTAGCAGTTCAAACCCACCAGATGCTGCAGCAGAAAGAAGGGCAATCTACTTCCATAAAGATTTACTATCTCAGAAACCCAAATGGGGTCGGTATGAGTCAGAAGTGACTCAATGGCAGTGAGTTTGGTTTACCTGCTTGTAAAAAGAACATGGAGGTGGCATCTTCTGACCTCCTCTAAGTTCACAACAGGAAGAGAGAATCACCATCAGCAGCCCAAGGCTTATTCCTATGAAGCGAGACATGCCACCACCTCCAGCCTTTTAACCAACTTTCACACCAACCCTCCCTTCCACAATACCATTTCTCTGCTAGATTTGATAATTCATTGCGATGGACACACAGAACTCACAGACAATACTCACGTTTATGGGGTTTATTAGGGAAGTAACAAGCTACAATTCAGATTCAGGAACGTACTCAGGATACATTATTTCATCAAGACAGTCTGACCTCTGCTGTGCCCTCAGACATGCCTCTCTGTCCCTTTGCCTCTCATCCGCCTCTGTGGGCCAGGTTACACCTGCCACTCTGTCTCCTGCCTCTTGGTTCCACTGCCATCTCTCCTCCAGGGTACTTCTCTGCCAAGGCATCTCTCTGCCAGGGTGTCTCTCAGCCAAGGAGGTCCAACCCAGCAATCTTGGGTCCAAGGACGTGCTCCACCTCACCTCTAGCTCTTCTTTCTTGATGGCAGTAGATCCCCTATCTGCCTCTAGGAGGGCTCCCGTTAAGCCTGGCAGAGTGAGAAAATTAACCAATCCCAACATCAGAGTTCTACACACCTTATTTGCATGGACCCACCCAGTAATCTGGGAGCTCTGGTGGCATAGTGCTTAAGGCATTTGACGGCTAACCAGAAGAGTGGTGGTTCAAACCCACTGGCTACTCCTCCAAAGGAAGTTTGGGCAATCTACTTCCATAGTGATACCCCCTCAGAAACCCAAGGAGGAGTCGTTATGAGTCGGATCTGACTTGACGGCAGTGCATTGTCTTGTTGTTTACCCAGTAATCCAGTGGCAGTTAGAAAGACTATGGCAAGAAAAGTCATACCAAGCAATTTACTGCACCGCACTGCTTCAAGCTGTATAAACATATACCAGTCATGTTTTATGGTCCCACCTGAAAGCTATGTTGTTGTTGTTGTTGTTTGCCGTTGAGTCGGACCCGACTCATAGCGACCCCTCCTTGGGTTTCCAAGGCAGTATCACTACAGAAGTAGATTGCCCCATCTTCCTTCTGAGGAGTGGCTAGTGGGTTTGAACCACCAGCCTTCTGGTTAGCAGTCAAGTACCTTAGGCACTATGCTACCAGAGCTTCCCCCTCCTG